GCTGGGGGGCATCTGGAGGTTCTGGGGGGGCCAGGACACGGGCTGTGCCCGGCCGGCAAAGGTGATGGAGCAAGCTGCTTCCCCCGACCCTGGTTCGGCTCGCAGCCGGGGGCACCTGGCAGCCAGGATCGGGCCACTTGGGGCATGCCAGAGCTTTTTTTTGGCATCACAGCCCCTGAGTTCTCCCCCCCGTCAGCAGTGGGGTTGTTCAGCTCCTGGCCAGGGCTGGCACAGGGGGTACACTGGGGGCTGCATGCCCAGGATGCCATGGGAGTGCTGGGGGAGCAGGTTGCCCCCCCCCAAGCCTGGGTACCCCAACCTATGGGGGATGCTCGGGGCACAGGCGGAAGCGACATCTAGTGGGAAGCACATCCCGTCGCCTGGGAGATCGATATCCATGGCAACCCCTCGGGGCCACCAGCACCCTACCTGGACCAGGGGCACCCACCATCACCCGTGGAGCCCCCTGGATGGGGTGAGCGGGTGCTCCTGGCAGGGCAGGGCTGTCACAGCCCTAAATAACCCCCAGCTCAGCGGCAATGCCTGCGGACCCCCACCGTGACGCAGGCGCTGGCACCATGGTGGGCGCTGAAGCCCCTTACCCACCGCCGGCCGGGACGAGCTGCACCCAGCGGGCTCTGCCCTGGCCTCGGCCACCTCCGGCTCCTCCAGCGCTCGCAGGGAGACGCAGACAGACAGCAATGTGGGGGGATAAATGCAGGAGAGGAGCCCATTTATCTCGCAAGGAAGACACGGGGCACAGGGATGCGGTTGGCAGGATGGTTACAGCCGGCCCCGGGGCATCGTCGCTCCGTGGAGGGCACTGGGGAGGGGAAGGTCCCAGCTCAGCCAGCCCCAGGTCCAGGGTGAAGGAGGACGGTGAGGCCCCAGGGATGGAGCCACCACTGCCCAAACCCCTGTGCCCTCCTTTGCCCCCCAAATACCGTGCCTGGGAGCAGCGTGAAGGGACGGGTATCGCAGAGCCTCAGCCTAAAGGGGCCCTTCAGATGCAAATGCACACCCACACGTGTGCACATATATACATAGGGGCTGCAAGAATACATATAGATGTGATTTAATGTAAATACATCCCCGCAGCCACTGCCGGGGCCGGAGGCGGTCCCGCACAGCGCGGTCGGGGCTCGAACCCGCGAACCCGGGGTCGCGGGGGGACCACAGCTCCCAGGAGGCAGCGCCCGCGGAACCGGGCGTCGCGGAGAGCC